TATTCGTATAAGTTCAATCTGAAATCGGTAACAAATTTATTGGGAAAATAATTACCTACACATCATGAGGTTAGAAATTTTTTTGATCAGCATTAGTTATCTTACGCTTATTAAACATCACGTGTAAATGTGTGTTTGCTAACCCAAATGAATCACTTGTTACAAACACAAGAGAAGTATTTTCTTTAATGTAAGTTACTGTAAGATGACTATAGGGGCTGTCAACAAGTTATCAAATTCACATTATTCGTAAGTGCTCAAAACTTATCCTTTCCACCGTAACACATACATAGTAATCTAGCTGTTAATCCTTCGTCCTAGCAAAGGACCAGACTAACCATCAAACACCAAGCTATTTCTGTTTGGTTTCCTGCCCTCTCGGAAGCCTCTCAGTTGCCGACTACAAAAATCTGTACACGAATCGGTCATAAGTGGATGACTACTGTCTTTATCTCACCTATGGTTTTCAGTACCTATATAAGTCTTTTGATTAACTTCTTTGGTGTAGCCATTCAGTTAATTGACAAGACACTGTGGTGTGCTGTATTTTGACGTCATATTGTGTAAATCAGTCGGTGAGAAGCTTTGGACTTTAGTTTTGTCATCACTGGTACTCGTAAGCAAGGCATACATGATGCAGTTCTACAGGGGGTCATTCGTAGCCTGAACAGTCTAAGAAAGAAGTTTCTTACTTCGGCAATGAGTGACGTAGGTTCAAGTCACCAACGCATAGCCAGTATTCTCATAACTGTTAGTACCCCTTATTGCAAAGTACCGAGAAGCATATTAAATAAGCCCAAGACTTCACGCCTATTAACCCCGGGGTACAAACTTAGAAATAATGTTGCTGGGCAAATAGATAAAAAACGGAGTTACTAAAGTGTTTCCCTTATGAAACTATGTTTTCATTATTTAGCCAAGCTTTCGAGTTATAAAAGGTATTGTATTACAATTTCCTTCCTATCTGATATTATTCTACCCAAACAACGAGATATTATATCGCTGATTGAATAAACATCCACAAAATTTTGTGTAGCTGATATACCGATTGACCGGCTAACTGACGAAATCAACGTAAAACCACACACACAGGTGCATCACCTTAAGTTGCCACACTTCACAGTTGTACATGAAGAAAAGGTGAATAGAAAAATAATGATATCAAAGCAGATAAAATAGTGTGAGACAGTAAAATCTTGGAGATTAATGTTAGCGCAAATATTCAAGCTTCAGAAGATTTCATAAAAAGAATACATCTGCGCCGCTGCTAACGATTTTCAACCATGTCACTAAGAGGCCTCAAACATTGATTCCTTTCGTCTCCAGGACCCCAATCAACCGCTCTACATCTCCCGACACGTCTTAAACCAAGAGTTCGTGACTTCATCGACTGGTGAAAGATCTTGGTCTAGCCACCCCGAACCCTCTTCCAACGTAATCTAGCATGTCACGTCGAGCTGGGCAGTAGCCCAGCATGCGCAGTTCATGTCCAAGCAGTCTTAATCGATAAATATTCACAACCTCACCAGTCGAATCGCCTATCTTGCTAGTACGCTTCACCTGACCTCAAGATTACTCACAGGGTGATTCCACCAGTTGATAGCAATGCTGCGAAGATACCTGTGATCAAAACCCTGCAGCCGCTTCATGTTGTTTACTTTTAACGGCCATATCTCATAGCCTTATAACAGGATAGAATGGACTGCAGCGCGGCACACTGGTCTTTTGATAGATAGTCAGATTTCTTAAAGGTGCTACAGGTGATGTAGGTTGGCAAATGCCGAGCAACGGTTCTGTATCCCAGCTAAGATTTCTTCAGAAACCAGTCCGTTCGGACTGATGCAACTCATCAAGCAAGTGAAATGGTTAACACATTCCACCACTTAACTCCCTACCGTTGGGTTGGGAGTTGTTAGAGACCAGTCATGCAACATCATCTTACATTTGACAGGTGCGAAATGTGTCCTGAACATACTCAGATTTCTGTTCATCGTGTCGAGAAGACCCTGCATTTTGTCAGCATCTTCAGTCAGCAGGACGATACCGCCAGCGTACTAAAGGTCAGCCAGATGGTGTTCAGGAATTAGATAAATCCCTGTGAAATGAGAAGTATTTATAGTTTTGCCCATTAATAAATCTTCGACGAAGCTAAATAAGAACTGCAACAGTGGGCATTCCTGGTAAGGACCACCAGTTGTTTTCACTTCTGATGACAACTCTCTATAAGGTCTGAAGAGGCTGCATAACTTTGAGTACAGAGCTTTGATTAGCGTTATATACTTACTCGGTACTACCTGCACGGTCAAACACTGACGAAACACCTCATCGTCGACAGAGTCAAACAATCAACAAACAGCAAATATCGTTTACCGGTAGATATGCCTGTATCCCAGAACGTGTTGGAGGGTAAAACTCCGATCTATGCACCATCGTCAAGGTCTAGAACCTGCCTAGTTTTCTCGAATTTGGTGTTCTCGATCTCCACCCAGGCGTCGGATAACTATAGATCCTAGTATTTTGAACACTATGGTCAAACTAATTCCTCTATGGTTTTCACAGGACTTCTCTTCCTTCCTATAGACCAAGATAATCAGGAAAGTACAACAGTTTGACGGCATTATCTCTGATTCCTATACCACGTAATACATCCACCACTCTTATCAGCAATTTCCCACCTCTATTTATGGAAAACTTAGATGGGAAAGTGTCAGACCCTACTGCTTGACATCGTTTTGAGTTCGATACAGCCTTCTCAACTTCAAGGAGAGTTGAAGAACTGACATCTGCGTCCTATTTAAGTTCAGGCTTGATGTTGGGCAACTGGAGCGTTGCTGAAAGCCAGCTGAATTGTGGTTCAAAGTGTTCTATCCAACATTCTAGACGCCTGTCCTGGGAGGTTATCAGCTTCTTATCCTTATCGGTGATGGTTTCACTCACCATTATCTTCTTATCAATATCCTCATGAGGCTTAAATAGTTACCGAGTGTTACCCAGCACAGATGCCTTCTTAATCTCTCTCGCATTCGCCACTCACCATTGCTCGCGGCCGACGCGAAGACTCCTAATCAACTACGTTTGAATTGTTTTCGCTCTTCGTCGTGGTCAGAGCCCTCTGATATCAGTTTTCTTGCTGATGTACAATCATTTATTGAGAAATGTTGATATCCACAAACTTGTTTTAGCTTGATTACTGGTCAGTGAAACATGAATCAATCTAGTTTATGTATCAACACTTTAATATGCAAACACTATGTTCGAATAATGCAATTTCGTTCCATTTACACTTTGTTAGTTGAATCATTCATTTTATATGCACGCGAATGCGTCTTATAGGCTGAAAAATACATGCAGTCAAGACAGTAATTGCGTTTAAGCCACTAAGTATAGCTATACCGTAAAACATGAGGATTAACTCGTTGAAACAGTTTGATTCACAAATATTCATGATCTTTAGATCAGTGAATGTAACTTTCGCAATTTTCTGTTAATAGAAACAATCTAAAAATTATTATCACGATACTTTACGAATCACTTTGACTCTACAAGTAATCTATGGTAAGGATTCAGGACAAGGTGTATTTAAGTCTGAGTTTATTTTGTGTCTAAGGTTTAAACCAGTAGTCTAATCTTAATATCTATTTCCTGATCAATTATTTTCAAAGAGAATATGGTAAAAGTTTCAACAAATACAGATAAAAGATGGTTAATATCTGTGTTAAAAATAATTTTTGAATCGTCTTTAGCCTTTTTGTAAACTGCCAATAATACTTCTAAAGACAAGCATAAAGATGAATATGCCTCAGGTCTGAAAGATTCAGCTTTGAGTTTTTCCAACATTTCAAAGATATCTTTGGATGAAGTGAGTGAAGTAGAAACAATAAGCGTTAGTTCATTTGTCGTTTTTTAATTTTGTTCTTTAGATCTGTTTCAAACACAAAAAAATATGTAAGGTACGTTTCACATTGAAACTAAACAAGTAGTTGTGCTAACAGTTTCTCTGGTTTCTATTTTTCTTATACTATTGAATTTCCAACATGTACCTTTTTTTCAAAACACTATTTTAACAAACCAGAATTTATAACAAGAAAAAAAATTCCTATCAGTCCGCTATTCTTTCAACCAGTTCATTTGCGTTACGACCGAGTTTCTAACGTGAAATATTTATTCACTCATATGTTTGATAAATCCCAGAGGGAATTAGACAACAGATTTAACTCTGTAAGTTAACGGAGCTTTATTATTATATTATTATTTGTCCTTTGGGTTCCTAGTGAAACATGGGAATTCAGTAGCACGTCGCCATTTCACTCTCTTCTCTACAGTCTTTTTCAACCTGGCTCCATGGCTGCCCAGAAGCTTTCATTTCTTCCTCACACGATCTCCTTCATGTCACCCTCGGAAGCATAACTCGTCGCTTCTCATCTAGCCTAGCCTAGCCTGACGCGTGGTGTCTCTAATCGGTCTTCTCAGTGTATGCCCAGTCCAATCGATCTACACTTTCTTCTGAATATTTGCTGGGCAATGGATTCTTGCTTTGTTGGTTCGTCGCCAGTCAGAGTTCCTTGTTACTTATTCTTTCTGGCCATCTGATTTTCAGTATCAAGTGAGTGTAGATGGCAGCTGTTGGTATATGTTTGTAGTTTATTGGAAATGCTTTTCGTAACGCGCCGAGTTTCTGAACCATATAGAAGCACAGACTTGACGTTGGTAATGAAAATCCACATGTTGTTTATGATGAGTGCAGTAGATCTCCATACTGATTTCGGGTTAACAAACCTTCAAATTTTCTCATATTTGCTGTGAAACTTTAATGCAGTCATTCTAAATACTTAAGTTTAGAATTTTCAATATATTAAGCTTTAGTCATCCTTCAAATGGCATGCAATTCAACGGTTGTAATCTATTTACACAATGTAAATATCCAAGATCCTGACTGATTTCATCTATTAGAATAAGAACTACTGTTATAATTTAGCATTATTGTTATTTATTTTTTACAGATCAAGAAATACAAATGAGTGATTTGCACGAAACATATTCATTACTTAGAAGACCAAAAGTTAAGGAACTCTGTAAATCAAATCAATCATCAAAATTATCCTTATCTGGAATTGGTCATCCGGGTAACGTCTACACAAACATACAATTGATTCCGTCTTCAAAAGATAATCTTAATTCAGAAGGTGGGATAGGCATAGCTGAGAAAATAAAACCCAAGGATAACGACTGCATTATTAAAAAGAACGAACAGTTGTACAATCGTACTAACAATGAAGTCATTAGAAACGAACCCACGACAAAACTGACAAAAATACTAAGCTTTTTACTCCATGATGGTCAAAAAAACGCTGGACGAAAAATAACTGTAGTGCGCTGTAATCCAGATGGTAAGGGAAGAACAAGTATAAATGTAAGTAATAATTGTTTTGAACTATTCTCCCATTCACTATATATAATGTAACAGAATCAGTAAAACGAAATTAACAACAATATTTGGAGATTTAAAAACAGTTTCTAAAAAACTGTACAAAGGAAGCGTAATCAAATAAACTTAATTTGCAATGATGTAGGCAGCAATGGAACTCACGATGGGCATTTTGTCCAATTCGGGACTCGTCAGCTGCATGTGCCTGTCTCCCAGTGCGTGGTGTTGTTCCCACTGGGACTCGAACCCGGGGGGGGATCGCCCTAAACGCCAGGGCGTTATCCACTACACCGCCAAGCCACGACAGTTATTTCTTGTGCGATGGGTATAGTTTCAGCATTATTGGTTTTATTATGCCACCGTTGATTGGACCGAATTGACCAGTTCCTATCGGCATATTGGCGCCTGTGCGAATGCCTCGACATTACCTGTGTTTTAATTATAGTAATGATAGATAGTGACTAGCAGTGAAATCCAGGAAGCACATCTTGTCCAATTCGGTCCCTAGTTTGAATTCCGGTTGAAACATCACTCACTGGGAAGGAAGTACATCCAGCTGGCGAGTCCCAAATCGGACGAACTGCGCATCTTGAATCCTACTGCTAGTCACTATCCATCACTACTATAATTAAAACATAAGTAATGTCGAGGCATCTACTCTGGAGCCCATATGCCAATAGTGACTGATCAGTTCGGTTCAATCAACGACGGTATAATACAATCAATAATACTAAACCTAATTTGTGTATATTCAACACAAAATGAATCTGATAAACTGTCTTGCAAGTAGATCTAGAAGGATGCTCCAAAAGCAATCTTCTCTAGCATTCAAAAAGCTTTCACAATACACTTGAATAAATTAAGAACCAGAAAATTGCAGGAGTTACTGTCCACAAGAAATTACTGTTTATTAAGCCACAGTTTATTCGGGATATACGTTGCTAGATGCAATTGCAAGGACTCACTTAACTCATTAGATACATTTTCAGTGCATCTAATTTTTATTTATTATTTTTTAGTCCACCAACTGTTGTGAATCTTTTGTATGCAAAGTTAACTATTTAGATATTTCTGAAAAGACAAATATTTCAAGGATACTTTTAGACGAATTGTCTTATAACTTGACGAGGCATGTGGCAAAGAAAAAAGAGTGAAATTGATATGAAGTTTTACTTCATCTCATCTACTTAGTAGTAGTCAAATATTGGGTAAAATGATTGATGCATTTAGAATAGTTCTTTGTATTCCAGTGAAATCGTTTTTGTTTAAGTTGGTAAACATCTCTCAAAAAATGTATGATAAGGGAACTCAAGAAGGTTTAAGACATCGTACCTAAGTGAAGTTTGTGCAGCTTTTACTCTTGCCCTATTCCGGGACGAACCAAGTTACAGCTTTACTTAGTCCAGCTCTAAAAGCTTATTTCCTTCTCTTTTCTAACTTGCTTCAAATACCTACAGTATTTACACCGGGACCTTATTTTCCCCAGCGACCATGATGTTTTTCTGACTTTGGACTGCTATTATTGTTTGGCTATCAGTCCGCATCATAGTGCTTTGTCGATATCTTCATCCTTTTTTATTACTACTATCTTCATAACTATAGTTATGACCAGTCACCTAATCTGCATCATTATTATCAGCATCAAACAACAAATGACTGTGACTGGCTCATATCTTAGTTATGTAGAAGTGTGTGCAGGAGAGTAAAGCTCTGGGAAATTCCAACTCACAACAGTTTTGTTCAATTTCTGTTATTAATTTAAAAAAAATTTCGCAGATATTTTTTTTAACACTACGGATCTTCATTTTGTAGGTTATCATGGTTCGTAGAGCTGTACATACACTCGGTCAAGTGATGTGTGAATTAACTGAAGGATTTGGCTCACGTTGGCATAATGATCCAATCAGACATTTATATTCCTTAACTGGTCGTGAAATAAGATCTGTTAACGAATTATTTCGCAAGGAAAAAGTTTTCATTGCCTCTGGATTTCATAAATTGTTTGGAAATATTCATTGTGAACTTAACCGAAGTAATAATGTGGACCGTACTGTTAATAATGATAACAATAGTATTAACTCTTATCATCAGCCCATAAATTATGCTAGTCAATATAACAGCCACTATCATCACGGCTTGCATCTAAGTCAAGATAAAAATCAAAATACCGCAAATAATGTCATGTATTTAAAGCCTGAAGATATACGAGTAAGTTGAGTTCGTGTTCACTTAGGTTTTTACTTACTTTCGTTTTTTTGGGTTATAAAATCAAATGTTTATTGTCTACACAAATTTTAGTAGATTATTAGAAAATGAGCGTGTGTTAAGTATCATTGCAAGTAGGTGGAAATTTCATGATTGTTCTTTTGAGCATTGAGAATATTACTACTTATTTCATTATCGTATAATACGTTCATTTTAAACAAAGCACTAAATCATATCAGATTACACTCAGGCAAAATAAAACACTGTTAATGTTCAAGCAGAACAAATTGCTTTGCTTCTTGATGAAACTCCAATGCAGTGATGACGATTTCGAGTTGGCTTAAATCAAGTGAGTTTTGAGGGTGTTGTTGGGATTTGGAAATATTTCAAGTTGTTATTCATGGTAAACTGACATCAGTTGGAGGTACGAAGGAAACCTAGGAGCACTGGATATCTGTTTCGCCCTAGTATGGGACTCCTCAGCAGTGCGCACCCACGACCACGCCAGGGATCAAACCCGTTACCGTGACCGGTGGAGACAAAGTCTGATGGTCGTGAGGGCAATTACTCAACGATGACATTGGGTGGCGGTCACGCTATGTCATGAGCTAACAGAAGTTGGAAATATGAACCATTGGATTCTAACCTAGTGGCTAAATGGGAACATGTTGGCCATGGAACCTGAAGGTCACGCATTCGATACCTGGCGGGGAAATGGGTACGCACTGCTGAGTAGTACCATACTAGGACGAAACAGCTGTCCAGTGCTCCTAGGTTACCTTCGTTCCTCCAACTGACATCAGTCTACGATGAATAACAACTTTAAATCAAGTGATTTCGTCTTGTCAAGTATTTTGTTCTTTTTAGTTTTGAATAGTCTTAATCTTATTTCGTATAGTACTCAGTTTATCGAATCAAACGAATAAACTAATTAGCATTTCATTATTCGATCACATTGAACATTGTTTTATGATATATTATTTGCAAGCAAATGCAAACAAATACACACACAAACATTTCGCTGCTCTTTGTTACACAAGCCACTAAGATATCTTCAAATTCTAATTGAGATTAAGGTGACTCTATTCGCTAACACGAAGGAGTTGTACTTTTTCTTGTCGAAACAAAAAGATGTAGGAGAATTTCAATGAGATGGTTAATAGGGGAGGTTACATATTATTGTTTCACTTATATAATAAAGCAATTTATATACAAGCATACATTTGTGACAACAGGATAGTCTGTTTCTGCAAATTTATTGCCTGAATGTTCCTTTTTAGTATGAATACTTTTATTTATTGATTAAGTGTTGGGATTAATCCTTAAAATAATTGTAATAACAACTTCACTGTACAGAACTTACCCTATTCTGCAAGTATAACAGATGTAAGATGTTAGAAACCTATGTATCTAGTTTAAACAATAAGTAAAGGAATTTCATTGCTATGATTAAAATAAAGTTTCAATGGAATCACAATAAATTCAAGTGAATAATTTTATATACTGTGAATCTATGTTTCCCGACTTTTACCATGTTCTGTCAAGTACATAACTAAAAGTTTCAGTATCTAACTTTAAAAATTAAATTTGTAGAAAGAAATGTTTCATCAATTCTAAACACATTACTCATTACTGAAGTAGTTGCAATTATTATCCACAAACTAAAGCCTGACCTTTGTTTGTAAAAGAAGTATATTCGGTCTTTGTGTCTTCTGTGGTCTTAACTTATTTTGATCTTGGTGTGCTTCGTTCTTTTCTTGTTTTTTTCAAATTCCCCTTTTGTTAAATTAATTTTTGTACTCATATCATCATTATCATTTTTATTTTTATGTTTAATAGTTTCCGGGGTTACTTGATTACTGAGATACTCTTATTACAGCTTTCTAGAGCTTAAACCTTTTATTCGATAGTGACTAAGTTATGTGGATAAGTTTATATTCCTTGACTAGGGTCTTGAACACATTAGTAGTTTGTAGTTAACAATCAGTAGTGACACAGTTTGAAACTGAATACAATAGTGAAGATATTGCCTCAAAGTTTGATGGATCTTTGAAGTTTTCTTTCGCATGAGCTTAATCGTTTATTGATCTATCCCAAACAAGAGACGGGCATTGTTTAGTAGATTAGCGATTTTCAATGAGATTCATAATACATTGTGAATTGATGAAAGTTCTGTTCATCCACTTTAATAAAATTCTTCACTTCTATAAAATTAACAAAACATTTTCAAAAACCATATAAACAGCGACTGACCATATGAATTACAAAAGTAAAATTCATAAGTTATTTAACTTATCGTCATATTTAAAGACACTCCAAATCATTCACTAGATTTTGCAAAGTCCATAATAAAATAAATCGTGGTATAACCTGGTTGATGCTAATATCTTTAACTGAAATGCTCAGTAGAGCTAGTGATCAAAAATGTTTGCCAACATGATTCAAACATTCAGAGCTAATTTGAACTAACATATAGATGAAGCATTGCTTTCGAGAGACATAAAGACAGGGTATTTAATTACCGCTAACAAGAATTCTCGTTTTGGAGCATTCATTTTTGTTTTATCGAAACTGATAGTTCTAACACATAAACGTTTTGTTTCTTTACCTCCTGAAGATCGTTCTGAATTAAAATTGGTGAACATAATATTCGAAGCTATCATAAGTGAAATTACGTATTCAACTTCTATTTAAATGCCATAAATAATAGAAAATAAACATGAGTACTCTACAGGTGGTTAGCAACTCAAGCGCACGTATACTCAAAGTCATCCACTGACGTGGATATAAATAAAAAGTTACCCTTCACAAAACTTCCATTGTGTTTGTGATCGGTTTTACAAAGCTAAGTGTAAGGCGTCAACCATGATGGGGTGAAACCATTTTTGCGGATCTTTAGACATCTGATATGCTGTTTTCCACCTGAAGCTGAAGTTCATGATCAAAACTTTAGGAAAATAAATGACTGCATTGGAAGTTATTCATTCCTTTGAGTTTCTTTCAGTACGTTGAGACGTTCTCACTTAGATGGTTTAATATTGAAAGTAACGTGTATTCAATAGGCTTTTGAAGCATAATTATTAAAAAGGTTATTTTTTTTATCCTCAAAATTATCCAGTTGTTCAAGTCGGTTAAAGTTTGCCGTCAAATGTACATTTCTACAGACAAATCATTATCTGTCATTTTAGCAACATGCTCTAAAATGGACTGTTGAATTTACTGCTTTATTTGCAGCTGACAGCTACTGAATGGTTTGCAAAGCTCATTCACTGTAGGGTTTACACTAAAAACACCGTCAACCTATTTTCGGTTGGAATAGAACTCCGAGTTTACTCATATCAGTAGATAGTTCTTTATACTTGTCGCTAAAATATCAACAGGCAGTATGGTAAATGGGTATATTTTTAAAGGACCTCATAAATAAGCCCTAACTATTCGTTTTGATGCAAACTTAAGCTGTAAACCACAAACTAAGGCTTCAGCTTGATATGATATTTCTGGTGACATATGTTTTTATTCCCACTTATTCAAGGTACACTTTCTTGTTTAAACATGCAACAGTTTTGGATCAAGATGAAAACTGTACAACTAACCAGGGAATGTACAAGTGTTTTTACATGATACTGTAGTTGACTGGACCGAAATGACCGGTCTCTATTAGCATATGGGCTCCAGTGTGGAGGCCTCGATGTTGCCAGCGTTCAAATTATGTTAATGATGGATCGTGGCTAGCAGTGGACGAGTCCCAAGTAAGATAAACTGCGCATCCTGGATTCCACTGCTAGCCACGATCCATCATTAACCAGGCAGTGGTTCCAGAAACTAAAATTTCAACTGAAATGACAATTTCCTACATTGTATCTTGATAAAAATCGGATAACAAACCCTATGGATGATGGTATAGTTAAAGCAGCTAAATATTCAACATTTGCAATATTCTGTGTAACTGAGACCGAGAAGAATACTGATTTTGGTGCCAGTGTATTGTTTAACCTGAATTAGATATTTTAGGTAGCTTTTCATATTTTACTGTAAGACAATGTGCACACACCTATGAAGTCCGTATATATGCATATACTGAGTTTCTCGGTAACCAGAATGCTTTTTTTAATTATCTAACTTTATTATCTAATTTTGTTTATTGAAACTTACTGTTGTTTTATTTCTACTTAGGAAAATTATCCCATAAAATAGTAGCTAATATCTTTTTAAGAGGTAACAAACAACAACAATAACTATTATTAATATTGACCATTTAATTCATGATATTGGATATCTTGACTTTTTTTTAACTGATTAAAAGTTGAAGAGTAAGGATACAAACTAGATATCTCATAGTTCAAATGCCCAAGAAATTGCATATTTACCCAAATAAATAAACAATACAGTTGATCATCTTAAAGTAAACAATATTAGTTGCATCAAGCATTGAATATAATGTTATATTGATGAATATTGTTATTAATAATATCATGATCACTTGAAGGCTATTGTGTACATCTTAATGATAAATTTAAACAAAAACAAGTGTTTAAAAAAGTGGTAAATAAAAACTAAAGCACACTGAATATGTAGGGTAGTAAAAAGAAAAAAAACTATTTCTAAAAAAAAGAGTAATTTCCGTCGCTACATCTACTTTTGGGAAATTTTTTAAATCTGATAACAGTTTCTTTGTTTTAATCACTTCAAGTTCATTCATAATTTTCTTTTGATATTTTTGTGTAAACTACTTTTCATTATGTAAAAGAAAATTCGTTCTGATCATCTAAAACCCATATGAAATCTTTGATAACTTTCTATATCGTTTTAAAAGTTACACATAAATAAAAGTGAGTTTAAATGATGCAAAAACCCTTCTTTTATCTATATTCCTTTCTGATTAGTGTACATTTGACAGTGTGTATTTTCCGGTCACATATGCTTTCTTGATATCTAAAACGATACTAATGATAATTGCAAAATGTCTATTTACTGAATTCATAAATAGAAATTTTTTTAGATTG